GTTTTCTGCTGGGCTTCTTAGAACTCCTCTTCTGCTGACCATTGGGGGGAAGCTCCCACTGGAGCCCAAAATTATTTCCTCAAGACTTTCTGGGCAGAGGAGGAGAGAGGGCACCTGGTATCCATTATTAAGGCCATGTTTTCTCTTTCTAGGCCTACTCTTTGGGATGGGCCAGTGCTAGAGGGTATCAGTATGGAAGAGACCAAGGGAGCCCTTGTTATGGGGCTCCTGTGAAGAGGAATAGGGTAATCTACAACATCCCACTCTACCCAAAGCTGTACTCACCCTTGCATGAGGCCTCCAAACCAGGGTGGGCTACAGATGAGCCGCTGAGAGGAGTCTATTTTTTTCAGGAAGTCATAAGAGAAACCCTGGATGATGGCCTGCATGTGTGAGGTGCAGCGCTGCATGAACTCTACCATCTGCAATACACGGCAGAGAAGTCAGTGCTGGCCACAACAGCCTTCCACAGGAATGGAGGCTTGAGGATAAAAGTGAATAGTCCAAGGAGCTAAGAGCTACCAACAGGGAAATGTCTAGAAAAGGAAGATCTTAGATTATTTTTTTAATAACATGTTATTTTCAAGAATAGGATTTGTCCATACTTTCCTCTAACTCCTTCCCTTCAATACATGAAGAAGCTAAGGGAGGGGGAAGTGAAACTTTTTGTCCAAGGCCCAACAGCTAATGAGCAACAGAATCAAAGGCAGGAAAGTACATTAAGTATGTAAAGACATTGGACAATACATGTTCTTTTGTTTCATATTTGTCATGTTATTTAATCCTCATTAACACATCATATGGAAATGACATTGGTGGTTCACATCTGTCATCATACCTTCTAAGGAGGATGAGACCTGGAGGACTGGGGTTCAAAGACAGCCTGGGCAGAGAAGTCTGTGAGACTCCATCTCCAATTATCCAGCAAAATGCCAGACTAGAGGCATGGCTCAAGTGGTATAGAGTGCCAGTGTGAGCAAGAAAGCAAGGAAGAACTTGAGGCCTGGAGTTCAAGCCCTGGTACCAGAACACATATACATCACACACACACACACACACACACACACACACACACACACACACACACACACACACACACACACACACACACACACACACACACACACACACACACACACACAATGCTGGGGCTGATGGCTCATATCTGTAATCCTATCTACTCAGGAGTCTGAGATCTGAGGATCTCGGTTCAAGGTGAGACCAGGCAGGAAAAGTCCATGAGAATCTTATCTCCAATAAACCACTCAGAAAAGTAGAAGTGGCACTGTGGCTCAAGTGGTTGAACACTAGCCTTGAGCTGAAGAGCTGAGGACAGCACCCAGGGCCCGAGTTCAGGCCCCAAGACCAACAAAAAAAAAAAAAAAAAGAGGAAGAAGAGGGGGGAGGAGGAGGAGACAACGAGAACAAAGGATCCTAAGGTGGTGGAGCTATCAGGACCAACTACAATGACAGATAGAATGAAATCCATTTTCACTGAGGAGGTAATGTCCTGGGTCCAAAATCTGTGGCTTGAATTGCCAAGCTGGAAAAGGTAAAGGCTAAAGAGCTGGCCACTAAGCTGGGTTAAATGTACAATGTTGATTTCTCTTACATAAAGACGATAAAAAAAATCTCCTTTTAATACACGGGTGGAAAGGCTAGACTTGCCCAAGGTTTTATTGCTGTTTAATTTGCTTTTACCCAGGCCCTGGGAATTCAATGCCAAAGTGAAGACTGCCACAAACTGCAGCTCTCAGAGATCCTGACAGCCTAGCTGAGCATCAACCCCATCCTTACCGGGGTGCTGCGATCCTTTCCTGCTGACAAGGCCCAGGTCTGTGGATTTCGACCCTTCTCGTCATGAAGTCTCAGGTCACCTCCTGCATCCAACAGTTTGCTGAGTATCCATTGATTGCCTGAAAATGCTGCTGCATGAACAGGGGTGCTCCCATCAAAGCAGCGGCTGGGTGAGAGGGGAGAATGGATACAGTGAATGTCTGGGACAAGACTCCTTCCTTCCAGACAGAGAAGATTCAGGGTATAACACAGGGCTCCGAGCTAACAGCAATCTTTTTTAGCGATGAGGATTACAATATCATTTGGGAGGCCCTTTTAGTTCTTTTTTTTTTTTTTTGGTGGGGGCGGGGGATACTCTGAGCCTGGGCACTATCCCTCAGCTCTTCAGCTCAAGGTGAGCACTCTACCACCTGAGCCACAGTGCCACTCCCAGTTTTCTGGTGGTTAACTGGAGATAAAGAGTTTCACGGACTTTCCTGCCTGGGCTATCTTTGAACCGTGATCCTCAGATCTCAGCCTCCTGAATAGCTAAGATTACAGGCATGAGCCACCAACTCCCGGCCCTTCAATTTTTTTCAGTAGCTACATAGTATTCCAAAATAAGGTCTGGCCATAATTAGGTTAATGAGACACTGGGGTATCTCTCAAAAGTATAATCTTAGGAGCCAGGCATGGTGAAATCCATCCATAATCCTAACACCTGAAGTTTGCAGCTAGCGTAAGCAATATAGCAAGGTTTTATCTCAAAACAAATAGGCTGAGGTAGATGCTGATGGCTCATACCTGTAATCCTAGCTACTCAGGAGGCTGAGATCTGAGAATTGCAGTTCAAATCCAGCCAGAGCAGGAAAGTCTGTAAGATACTTATCTCCAATTAACCACCAAAAAACTGGAAGTGGTGCTGTGGCTCAAAGTGATAGAGCAGTAGCCTTGAGCAAAAGAACCCAGGGACAGCACCCAGGTCCTGAGTTCAAGCTCCATGTCTGACAGGGGAAAAAAAAAGTGTGCACACATTCACATGCACGCACGCACGTACGTACACACACACACACACACACACACACACACACAGAGGCTGTGTTAGTTCCAATGGTAGAGGGCTTGCCTAGCAAGGCTCTAGCGTCAATCCTCAGTAACACACACACACCAAAAACATTAAGAAAATATGTAGTCTCAGGACTAGAGGTGTAGCTCAGGTAGGGTACTTGCTTAGCATGCAAGAAGAGGCCTCTAATTTGATCCCTAGCACTGACAAAAGAAAAAACAAGAACAAAAAAAAACCAAAAAACAAAAAAAATCTCACCAGGCAATAGTGGCTCACAACTGTAATCTTTTTTTTTTGGTCGGTTGTGGGACTTGAACTCTGGACCTGAGAGCTGTCTTCAGCTCAAGGCTAGCACTCTACCACTTGAGCCACTGCACCACTTCTGGTTTTCTGAGTGGTTTATTGGAGAAAAGTGTCTCATAGACTTTCCTGCCCGAGCTGGCTTTGAACAGCAATGCTCAGATCTCAGCCTCCTGAGCAGCTAGGATTATAGGTGTGAGCCACTGGTGCAAGGCTACCCCTGTAACCTTTAACTACTCAAGGAGACTAAGATCTTGAGGATTGATGCTCAAAGCCAGCCCTGGAAGAAAGTCCCTGAGCCTATCTCCAATTAACCCAAAAAGCTATAAGTAAAGCTGTGGCTCAAGTGGTAAGAGAACTTGTCTTGAGAGACAGTGACCAGGCCTAGAGTTCAAGCCCTAGTGCTGGCATACACACACACACACACACACACACACACACAAATTCTCATATTTCACCTTGGACTGACTGACACAGAATTTGTAAGTAAGTTCACCAGATGATCTTAATGAGGCTGGCCTGTACCTGAACATCTTGAGAACTATTGCTGGAGCAGACAGGCTGTCCAGCATACCACCTTGTGAACCAAAATTTCTTCCTTGTTGTAAAACAACTACATGTAATGTTTTCATTATTCCTCATCAAATGTATTCCTGGTCTAGTCGTCTTTCTCACAAACAGAAAGCCAAGTTTAGGAAAAAGGATATTATTTTTCATTTCTCATGAATACTAAGGAAAAAAAGAAATAATGGTTGATACTCAACTAAACCTTACAAGTGAACTCAGATCCAAGTGGGATCAAAATACATACTGTTGGACTAGAGGTCTGACTCAAGCCATAGAGCATTTGCCAAGCAAGTGTGAGGAGGCCTTGAGTTCAAGTCCCAGTATCCTCCCAACACACACAAAATACATACTGTTTATTCATTTCTGCCAGAAATTGAACAACAACCCCTTATACTGATTGGGGTAATCCACAAGTGTGGATTTAATTAGTTTTATACCATATCTTTAAAATTTTTTTGAGCCAGATGCCAGTTACTCTTGCCTATGATCCTAGTTACTCATGAGGCTGAGATCTCAGGATCTAGGTTCTGAGATTCTATATTCATCCTTGTTTTTTAGACAATGGTGTTATTTTTTGAGGGGGGTGGGGGGGGGGTCTGGTTGTGGGCCTGAACTCTGGGCCTGGGCGCTGTCCCTCAGCTCTTCTGCTCAAGGCTAGTGCTCTACCACTGAGCCACCTTCCCAACCCCGACAATGGTGTTATTGTACTTACTGGTTTGGATCTGATCCAAAATCCATTAGTGTATCAACTAATTTCTTAAGGCCTAATAATGCTGCAACAAAAAGTGCTGTCTGGCCCAGGGAATTAACTGCATCAACATAAGTTCCTGAAAAACAAACATAGAATCAATGAAAATATCAGGAATCTTAAATTGCCATCTAAGGAAGCACAGACCCAAGTGCAGCAAATCCTATCCTGAAAGGATAAATGGACATCAATGGAGTTTAGCAAGGATTGATCACACACTCAAGGTCAGACCAAATTAACCACCAGAAAACCAGAAGTGGCACTGTGGCTCAAGTGGTAGAGCACTTGCCTTGAGCTGAAGAGCACAGAGACAGCGCCCAAGCCGAGTTCAAGGTCCATGACCACCAAAAAAAAAAAAAAACACTAAAAAGCAAACCAACACTTACAATACTCGCTGAGTATGCCAAACTACAGAGACTAGGTTCCAGTTATTTGTACAACAGAAACTAGAAAAAAAACCACTATGGCTCAATACTAGTCAGAAAATCTCTATTTGATAGATAAATGGCTATTTTTTTAAGCATAATAAAAATTAAGCCAGAAACCACTCAGAATGCATTCTCCCCCTCTCACTCTCCTTTAAGGAGAGAAGAACGATCATCAATGGCAAGAGGCAGTTGCACAAAAGCAATACCAGTTACCGGCTTCACGCTCAGGAGAGAACACTGCACCTCCTCCTCGTGGTTTCTGGTACTCTACACGATCAGTGAGATTTCTCTAGTAACAAACTATAGAAATGATCCCTGAAAGTATAGTCTTAGCCAGAAACTGCTGCTATTTCCTGACTGATTGAAATTCACACATATTATGCTAATGGTGATTTGTTTATGGTATCATTTCTGTTCAATATATATTGGCATATAAATATTCCAAACAGAACCTTTCTTTATTCGGGTTTACAAAGCATTTAAATCTGAGTTTTTAAGACAAACTGTTAGGCTAATTAACATACTGTTGCTCAACAGCCAATCATATGTAGCCATTTCCAACCCGCCCTCCTCTGTGGCACTCTGGGCTAACCTAAGTAACACTGACGTCTACAAAGTGCGCCAGCCGCCTGGGGATAGAGCTAAAAGGTGGAGCACATGGTTATGTCTCTAACACCGAATTTAAGTTAAAAAAAATCACAGCCACACCTCTATTTGGACTTTATCCTGTGAAATTATTCCTTTTAATGTTTTATTACCAAGTCAAGGAATTATTACTCTATAATAACATGGCTTGTATTTACTCATCTGCTTTAAATTTTAGTGACTTCATATCTCCAGTCTGACAAAGCTTTTCTATATTATGAAGCCCTGCAGGATCTAACTCACATTCACTTCATGAGTCTTATTTTGTGCCACACTACCTCAGTTCCTGTCTGTATGGATAGCTTTCCCGAAGATTTGACTTAACAGGTTGGTTGTTTTCAGGGAGATGCATGCTCATAGGTAAGTGACTGTACTGAGGCTTCAACTCCAGGCCCAGGCATTGTTCTACTTGACCCATAGCTCCACTTCCAGTCTTTTGCTGGTTGACTGGAGGTAAGAGTCACAGATTTCTGCCCTAGCTTGCATCTTAACTGTGAGACTAGATTTCATATCTGAGATCTCAGGTTTCAGGTTATAATTTTTTTTGGGGGGGGGGGGGGTCAGTTGTGGGGCTTGAACTCTGGGCCTGGGTGCTGTCCCTGAGTTCTTTAGCTCAAGGCGAGTGCTCTACTGCTTGAGCCACAGCGCCACTTCCAGTTTTCTAGTGGTTTATTGGAGATAAGAATCTCACAGACTTTCCTCCGCTGGCTGGCTCTCAACCACGATCCTCAGATCTCAGCCTCCTGAGTAGCTAGGATTACAGGTGTGAGCCATGGGTGCTCCAGGGGACTTCTAGGTGTAAGGTCTGCTCCTGGATGGTGAGCAGACTCCACCCTCTTCGCAGCAAAGTCTCCACCCAGTACCTGCATTACCTAGGCAACTGGCACACCTGGAAGAGGTCACATCTGCATCCGCTGAGGTCACATCTGAATTTGATGTGGCCACACCTTTCTCGGCCCATACCCTAGATAAGGCCTAGCCCAGGCCCAGATGCCCTTTCCCAGCTCTCTCTTCTCTTTCCCAGCTCTTTCCCAGCCACGTGGAGGGCCAACATGGCCTGGTGCCAGCCAGAATGATGAATAAACCTACCCCTTACCTGAATACCACGTGCGTGGTAACCTCTTTTTAAAAACCTAACACTAGGGACATACCTTTGGCTTTAAAATCTAAACTTCAAGGGGGGAAGGGGAGTGGGGAAAAAAAACAACTAAACTTCAAGAACCTAACAGTAGTATTCCTCTTAGATACTAGATTTTGCAGAAACCACTCAGATAAATGATACTGGCTTTTCATTCAGGAAAGAACAATGTGATGTCTATGAAAGTTTGTGCATTCAACCACTATGAAAACTGTAGTGAATGTTTGTTTTTTTTTTTTTGTCGGTCGTGGGGCTTGAACTCTGGGCCTGGGCGCTGTCCCTCAGCTCTTCAGCTCAAGGTGAGCGCTCTACCACTTGAGCTATAGCGCCACTTCCGGTTTTCTGGTGGTTTATTAGAGATAGGAGTCTCACGGTCTCTCCTGCCCGGGCTGGCTTTGAACTGCGATCCTCAGATCTCAGCCTCCTGAGTAGCTAGGATTACAGGCGTGAGCCACCAGCGCCCAGCTCTGTAGTGAATGTTTACAGTAGTGAGTTTTAGGATTTTTTTTTTCCAGTCCTAGTGCTTGAACTCAGGGCCTGGGTACTATCCCTGATCTTTTGCTCAAGGCTAGCGCTCTACCACTTAAGCCACAGCACTACTTCCAGCCTTTTCTGTTTATGTGGTACTGAGGAATGGAACCCAGGGCTTCATGTTAGGCAAGAACTATACCACTAAGCCACATTCCCAGCCCATGTTTCTGAGCTCTTTTTGTTCTGAGCTAGCACTCTACCATTTAAACCACAGGTTTTTGGTGATTAATTGGAGATAAGAGTCTCATGGGCTTTGCTGCTCAGGCTGACTTTGAACAGTAATCCTCACATCTCAGCCTCTGTCGTAGCTAGAATTACAGATATAAGCCACTAGTGCCTGGTTATTTTTTGTTGTTGCTGTTGATTGTTTGTTCTCCCATGTTGAAACTGGCTTCTGTTATATATTTCATAATTGAAAAAAAGACAATATTCAGAACACTATATTCACTTGTAAACTTTTCAGATTGAACTCACTAACATACAGCTCCGATCATATACTACCCTCTGTGCTGCTTTTCTCTCCCCCACTCCAGAAAGCTATAATTACTTCACCAATCACAGCCACTTAAAGGTCAGTCTCTGACTTTAACTGATGTGATCTGATGCTAATTCTAGGAATTAGTATCAGAATCTCATCGAACTGTATGGTACTCACAGTTGGAGAATCAAATAACTGGTGTTGAATGGAGTCAGAGAGAGAAAAACCCTTGGAGCCAGAGCAACCACTTATTTAGAAACACAAATCTATTTAAGCTCTTCAAACTTTTAAGAGTTCTGATTCCAGTGATGGTCAATTAATATGTATCAGACCAATTCTCCCACAGATAACAAATTTAAACTCTAGAAAAAAATGTAAAAACTATGTGAAGTCACTGAATAACAACAACACAACAAAAGGTTCATATGAGAGACTTTGAAGAAAGGAATTTTGGAAATGTTTTATGACTTTGAGCCTAAGAATGTGGCTAAACTAGAGTAAAAACAGTTTTACTGCCTTGAAGAACTATAGGTTACAGTTCAGGGCTAGCAGTCACTGCAACTATGGAACAGAGTCAGAAGGAGAGGTCCCAGTACTGTATGTAAACTCTACCCAACACTTGGGCTGACTCTCCACACATGCCCAGGGCTGGCTCAAAGTAGCACAACCAAAGTCTAAGCAAATGCACGGATGTAGCTGGAGATGTGGCTCAAATGGGGACTCTTATCCCTAGCAAGTATGAGGCCCTGAGTTCAATCCCTGGTCTCACCAAAAAAGAAAAAGAAAGAATTTAAAGATACTGAATGTTCACAAGATACCTTGTATTTAGATATAATAAATGTCATAATACTTTTTCTCACACTGGAAATGTGGCTAGACAAACACAAGAAATAACACAGCAATCTGGAGCATTAGCTTTTTTGTTTTGTTTTGTTTTTTTGTCGGCGTGGGGCCTGAACTCTGGGCCTAGGCGCCGTCCCTCAGTTCTTCAACTGTAGACTAGCACTCTACCACTTGGGCCTCAGCCCCACTTCTGGCTTTTTCTGCTTATGTGGTGCTGAGGAATCGAACCGAGGGCCTCATGCATACAAGGCAAGCACTCTACCACTGAGCCACCTTCCCAGCCCCTGGAGCATTAGCTTTTATGTGAATGTACACAAAGACATCCATCCTATAGAGTATAATGTAAATTTTTGAGGAGCAGAAACCATCTTTCCAATAAACTGTTGAGTTCACTATTCCACTTACACATCTTAAGCATGGTTTGTAGAAAAGTTTGAGTGGCTTTGTTTTGTTGTGAAAATACTGGGGATTTGACTTTTTTATTCAAGGATGGCTTTTTGCTGCTTAACTGGAGATAGATCTCATGGGTTTGTCTGACTTGACTGGCTTCAAACTGCAATCCTAAGATCTCAGCCTCCTGAGTAGCTACAATTACAGCTGTGAGCCACCTGAGCTTGGCTTTAAAGAACTTTCTGAAGGCATTCTGTGGGATAGTTGAATCCAGAAAACCTGGCATTTCCCTCCTATCTATTCCTGAAAGTCTTGACAAATGCTGTTAAGGAAAACATTGGAGAGAAACAAGGTGACCTTAACCCTACAAACAAGATAGTAGAAGCTTAATATGCCTCATTCTTTCCATAATAAAAAGAGGGGAGGAGTATTCAGGAGAACTTCTAGTAACTCTGAACATAGCAGGCCTGGATCTCTAAGCCTCCTTCCAAGTACCACCCTAGGTTCATCTTGTATATACTAGGGAGATTTTATTTGTGGATTTTTGTGGATTTTTATTTTTTTGTCGGTTGTGGGGCTTGAAGACAAGCCACTTCTGGTTTCCTGTTGGTTAACTGGAGATAAGAGTCTCACAGACTTTCCTGCCCAAGCTGCCTTCAAACCATGATCCTCAGATCTCAGCCTTCTGAGTAGCTAGGATTTCAGGCATGAGCCACTGGTGCCTGGCTGTTTTGTCATTCTTTTGAAGAGTGCCTGAACTGTACACATTTCTGTCTGCTAGCATGCTAAATCTGCCAGCAACCTCTACCTAGTGGACACAAAGAGGTCAGGGAGAATTGTCAAAGTTCCTCTCCTCAGTCCACCACAGGCCTGAAAAGACTCAATGGATAGAATTGATTCGAAGGAGCCGGGCGCTGGTGGCTCATGCCTGTAATCCTAGCTACTCAGGAGGCTGAGATCTGAGGATCGCAGGTTCAAAGCCAGCCCGGGCAGGAAAGACCGTGAGACTCCTATCTCCAATAAACCACCAGAAAACCGGAAGTGGCGCTGTAGCTCAAGTGGTAGAGCGCTCGCCTTGAGCTGAAGAGCTGAGGGACAGCGCCCAGGCCCAGAGTTCAAGCCCCACGACCGACCAAAAAAAAAAAAGAATTGATTCGAAGGAGATAAGGCAGAAATCAAGTAGAGTCAAAGGCAAAACCTTCAAGTCCAGCCAAGTAGAAGATCTTCTGGAGCTCCAACATAAAACAAACTTCCTCTAAAGAATGACTTAACACCTCTATTGAACAATATAACTGAACTGGTAGGG